TCATATTCACACCCTTTGATTCGTAAGGTTAAATGTTGTTCACTTACCCCAAGCTTAAGGAAGCAGGAGTGAAGGGCGCACGGCGGAGAGGCACTGTGAGGTCCTGGAGGACACCTGCAGCCTGGTGGACACAGGATCATATCTTCATCATCATCATCAATCATCATCATCATCATTACTCCACCATGCATCTACAACAACTCAACTAATGGTAACTTATTAAACAATAAACTAATTAGTGTTTCAGTCGCTGAGTTTGTTTTAGTGATCAATTTAAACTGAACTGATCATGTCAATAACTGCTGTTCCTGAAGCTGGTCTCAGGTCAGTCTGTAACACTGTAACTGTTGTGAAGCCTTCAAGCAAGTGTTGTCATGGTGACGGGCATAATTGTTCAGGAAACTCTCAACTAACTATTAATCAATCATCATTAATTCAGAAAATATCATTAATCTCTTTGGAAGAGCCTGAAAAGACCTCAACACTCAATCAATATCTGATGAATGAGTTGTTTGATGTTACAAGTTTCAACACGGACGTGAATCTGGATCAGAGCCCCCCGTCCTGAGGTGGACCCCCCCCCCGTCCTCTTACCTGCTGCTGTCCTGCTCCGTGCTGCAGGTGGACCCCACACGTCCAGCAGACTCCCCCCGGACGAGGTGGACGAGGCCAGGGACGCCTCTTGTCCAGCAGTCCCCCGACCCCCACTGGAGCTCTTGGTTCTGAACAGCTTGCTGAGCCGGACCTTCAGTGACCCCCTTTCTTGACTTTCCCCGCGGCGTCTTCTCTCCCTCCCTCCCTCCTCCTCCTCCCACTTCCCCTCCAGGACCACTAGGGGGAAGCAGACCGCCCGCTCCCCCGAGGCCACACCGAGTTTGGGGTGGTGGCGCGGCTCTGGGGCTGGGAGGCGAGACTGGTGCTGGGTGCTGCCGCCGGTGGTCGGGTCGGGGAGGGGGTCAGGGGAGACGTTGGAGACCACTGAGGGCTGCTGGCAGCCTGGGGGGCCTGCGGGCGAACAGGGAGGTACGGACAGGGGGTAGTGGTGCTGCTGATGGGGGGCGGGAGTCACACATGGAGGTAGGGACACTGCAAGCACCCAGGACAGCCAACGAGGACCGGCAGCTCTGGTCCGTGCAGACCCCCCGCCTCCTCCGCCAGTCTGTGCCTGCCTCATCAGACCGCTCAGAGTCCCGCTGGAGAACAACCTGCTAGCTCCGCCAGATGTCCCCCACTGCCACACCCCCACATCCTCTCTCCCTTCTCAGCGTCCCCCATGTCCCTCCATCCTGTCCATCCTCACCCAACCCCCCACCTCTTCAGACCCCAGACCTTCTAGGACAGCAAGAGCGTCACTGGTCTCACTCGGGTCCTCGCCGGGACCTATGCCCCCGACCCGAGGCCAGACGCTGTGACAGGAGCCACCGAGGGAGGGGGACAGCCATCTCCTCTCCGCACACCTCCTCCCTCCACACCACCCCCCTACCCTCACCCAGCTGACCTAGCCTCCGGGCCAGGGCCAAGACCGGGTTCCTCTCCCCCAGCGGAGCAGTTCTTCCTTGGGCTCCAGCAGGCCGAGAACGCAGGGCTTGGTCCAGCAGACCCGGGGGCCACTTAGCTAGTCGGTCTGTCAGCAGGCGGTGTCGGTGGCACAGGACTGACCCGGACCAGAGTCCAGAGCCGGGACACCCCTGCTGGGGAGTATGGGACCCATCGGTCCCTTTGGACAGTCTGAGGACCGGGTGCATGAAGCAGCTGCGGCTTGCTGTGGTTGCAGGTTTCCTCTGCAGATGGGATGCAGTGTGAGTTCTGGTCCTTCCCGCCTCCAGGCCCAGGACCAGTGTTGTGCTGCCGGGACCGTACCTGATCCGGGATCCAGCTGCTGTCTCTGTCTCTCTGCTTCTCCTGGAGGAACCCCGGGGGCGGCTGCTCACGCCCGCACTCCAGGATCCGGTCTCCGACCCGCAGCAGATTCTGAACACCATCAGCTGCGCCCTCGACCCGTGCCCCCCCGAGCCGTGCCCGTGCGGCACCGGGAAGTCACGAAGCGCTGGGCCGCTAACGGCAAAGTCCTCGGGCGGCGGAGGGACAGCGGGCCTCGGAGCCGGCGGAGCCTGCGTCAACACCAGCCCGCCGTCAGCTCGCTTTTTCCGGGGAGCGGCGAGCTGTAGTGCGGGGAGGCCGAGCCGAGGCCTGCCGAGGGCCGCTTGGTGTCAGATCAAACCCGCCGCCGCCGTGGTGTCCCAGCACGGCTTAACGGGCCCGCAAACCGCCGCCTCGGACGGACATCAGGTCGTCGGGCTTCGTCCAGTCGGTCGTACTCGGCCGCGGACACGAGCCGCATCAGGACGAAGTCTGGAGACATTTCTTGCTGCGTGTTCATGCTGACAGGCTAACGTTAGCTGCGCGGCTACAACGGGCCTCCGCGCTTACATAACACCGAGATAAATAAACGGCTGCGGAGCTAACGGCGGCTATGCGGCTGCATCCTCACCGCCGAGCTAACCGGGCAGCTCGACGGAACACCGACCGACGGCCATGTAACGTCCGGACCGGTTCGTGACGGTAACGGCTCCGCTGCACGAAACAGAAACATGAACAGACATGAGAAGCCGCCGGTGCCGCGCTCGGTAACGTTAGCTAGCTGTTAGCCTCCTACCCGACTCATCCTCCGGTCAGACAACACGGATGTGGTGAAGAGGTGGTGGTGGGTGGGGGGTGGGGGGGCGCGGGGGCGGCTGCGCAGCGTTGGCATCAATAATCGATCGGTGCTGATTGATAATGGAGGCTCGTGCGCAGCGTGAACGATGGACCGAAACCGAAACTCCACACAGCGGCACACTTCCCGGTAACCGGAGAGCCTCCGTCACAGCCGGAGGTCTCTCTCTACCACCTCTCTCTCTCTGTCACAAACATCTGAGGGCTCTGACTCAGTTACTAAACATGATCGATTAATTGATTGTTCGGTCAAACTGTAGATAATAAAAAATGATCAGTTCAGGTTTTCTTCACATATTGTTGATTAACTGAATCTGATCAGTTTTGTTGACGGACCAGGTGAGCTCACCTGTCCTGACCCAACATCCACTCACTGAGCTTTCCACTGTTTCCTGGTCTTCTTCAGGGACTGGAACTGTCAGGTGTCATCACGTGAGCGCAGTACAGGCCCTGGTCAACGACACAGGTGTTGAATATTAGATTTATTTTATTTGATATTTTAAGTCTCAGATTATCACGATTTCCCGCCAAGGTTCATGTGTCTCCAAAATCAGATCCGTCGCTGCGAGCAGGGTTCGAACCTGCGCGGGGAGACCCAATTGGATTTCAAGTCCAACGCCTTAACCACTCGGCATCATCACAGCTGCTGCCTAGCTCTACCTGAGACAGCTGATCGGTGAGACCAGGTGAGAGACCGGCTGCTGTTGGTCAGAGTTCAGATACCTTTCGACACTTTATTCAGTTTATTGTATTAAGCAGGTAGAGTGTGATTATTACATGTTATCTTAAAAACCTGACTTCCAACACTGTCCTGGTTTAATACAAATAAACTGAATAAAGTGTGTGCGAAAGGTATCTGGAACTCTGGACCAACAGCAGCGGTCCCTGCACCGTGTCCACGATGCAGCTGGTCTCAGGTAAGAGCTAGCAGCAGCTGTGATGCGCGAGTGGTTAAGGCGTTGGACTTGAAAATCCAATGGGGTCTCGCCCGCGCAGGTTCGAAACCTGCTCGCAAGCGACGGATTGATTTGGAGACATCATGAACCTTGGGCGGAAATCGTGATCATCTTGTAGACTTAAATATCAAATACGAAATAAATCTAAGTATTCAAACCTGTGGGTCGTTGTGACCAGGGCCTTACTGCGCTCAACGTGATGACACCTGACAGTTCCAGTCCTGAAGAAGACGAGGGAAAACAGCTGCAAGCCCAGTGAGTGGATGTTGGGTAGACAGGTGACTCACTGGTCCGTCACAGAGACTGAATCAGATTCAGTTAGATCACAATATGTTGAAGAAAGACACCTGAACTGATCATCTTTTATTATCTACAGTTTGACCGAACAATCAATTAACGATCATTTATAACGTGAGTCAGAGCTCAGATGTTTGTGACAGAGAGAGAAGGTGTGTAGAGATGAAGACCTCCGGCTGGGTGACGGAGGCTCTCCGGTACCGGGAAGTGTGGCCCGGGCCCCCTGGGGTTTTTTTGGGGTGGGAAAAAAAAGGTTTATTTTCCCCCCGGTTTTTCGTTCCATCGTTCACGCTGCGCACGGAGCCTCCATTTATCAATCAGCAACGATCGATTATCGAGCAACGCTTGCGCTCAGCCGCCCGCGCCCCCCACCCCCACCCACACCACCTCTTCACAACATCCGTGTGTCTTTGACCGGATAGGATGAGTTCGTAGGGAGGCTAACCAGCTAGCTAACGTTTACCGAGCGGGCGCGCACCGGGAACGGGCCTTCTCATGCTTGCTGTTCATGTTCTGTCTTTCGTGCAGTCGGAGCCGTTGACCGTCACGAACGCGGTCGACGTTACACTGGCCGTCGGTCAATAATATACCGTCGAGTGCCCGGTTAGCTCGGCGGGAAGGATGCAGCCAGCTAGCCGCCGTTAGCTCGCAGGCCGTTTATTGTATCTCGGGTGTTATGTAAGCGCGGAGCCCGTGTAGCCGCGCAGCTAACGTAGCCTGTCGAGCATTGAACGACGCGCAGCAAGAAATGTCTCCAGACTTGTCCTGATGCGGCTCGTTGCGTCCGCGGCCGAGTAACGACGATGTGCGAGCCCGACGAACCTGATGTCCGGAGCGCGGGTTTGGCCCGTTAAAGCGTGCTGGAACACCAACGGCGGCGGCGGGGTTTGATATACTGGACACAGCGGCACACCTCGGCAGGCCTCGCTCGCCTCCCGCACTTACAGCTCGCCGCTCCCCGGAAAAGGGCGACTGAGACGGCGGGCTGGTGTTGACGCAGCTCCGCGGGCTCCGAGGCGCCGCGTCCCCTCCGCCGCCGAGGCACTTTGCCGTAGGGCCCTAGCGCTTCGTGGATTCTTTCCGGTGCCGCACGGGCACGGCCTCGGGGGGCACGGGTCGAGGGCGCAGCTGATGGTGTTTCAGAATCTGCTGCCGTCCGGAGCCGGATCCTGGAGTGGCGGGCTGGAGCCAGCCGCCCCCGGGTTTCCTCCAGGAAGGAAGCAAGAGAGACAGATGACAGCAGCTGGATCCCCGGATAGGTACGGGTCCCGGAGCACAACAACTTGGTCCTGGCCTGGAGGCAGGAAGTGACCAGAACTCACACTGCATCCCATCTGCAGAGGAAAACCTGCAACCACAGCAGTCCGCAGATGCTTCAGTGGCAGCCTGGTCTCAGACTGTCCAAGGGACCGATGGGTCCCATACTCCCCAAGCAGGGTGTCCGGCTCTGGACTCTGAGTCGGGTCAGTCCTGTCACCGACACCGCCTGCTGACAGACCGACTAGCTTAAGTGCCCACCCGGGTCTGCTGGACCAAGCCCTGCGTCCTCGCTGCTGGAGCCCAGGAAGAACTGGCTCCGCTGGGGAGAGGACGCCGCTTCTTGGCCCTGGCCGGAGGCTTGGTCAGTCTGGGTGAGGGAGGGAGGGTGGTGGAGGAGGAGGTGGGGCGATGAGGAGATGGTGCTCCCCTCCCTCGGTGGCTCTGTCACAGCGTCCTGGCCTCGGGTCGGGGGCATAGGTTTCCCGGCCGAGGACCGCAGTGATAGCAGTGGACGCTCTGCTGGTCCTAGAAGGTCTGGGTCTGAAAGGTTGGGGGGGTTGGGTGAGGATGGGAACAGGGATGGAAGGGACATGGGGACGCTGAAGAAGGGAGAGGAGATGGGGGGGTGTTGCAGTGGGGACATTGTGGGGAGCTAGGCAGGTGTTCTCCTCAGCGGAAACTCTGAGCGGTCTGAATGAGGCAGGTCCACAGACTGGCGGAGGAGGCGGGGGTCTGCACGGACCAGAGCTGCCGTACTCCGTTGGCTGTCCTGGGTGCTGGCAGTGTCCCTACCTCCATGTGTGGACTCCGCCCCATCAGCAGGCACCACTACCCTGTCCTACCTCCCTGTTCGCCCGCAGGCCCCCACAGGCTGCAGGCCAGCCTCTCAGTGGTCTGCCAAGTCTCCCCTGACCCCTCCCGACCGAGCCACCCGGTCCGCAGCACCACACCAGTCTCGCTCCCAGCCCCAGAGCCGCGCCACCACCCCAAACTCTGTGGCCCTCGGGGGAGCGGGGGCGGTCCTGCCTCCCCTAGTGGTCCTGGGAGGGGGAGGTGGGAGGAGGAGGAGGGAGGGAAGGGAGAGAAAAGACGCGCGGGGAAAGTCTAAGGAAAGGGGGTACTGAGTCCGGCTCAGCAAGCTGTTTCAGTGAGACGCAAGGCTCCAGTGGGGGGGTCGGGGGGACTGCTGGACAAGAGGCCGTCCCCTGGCCTCGTCCACCTCGTCCGGGGGAGTCGCTGGACGTGTGGGGGTCCACCTGCCATGCACGAGCAGGACAAGCAGCAGGTAAAGGACGGGGGGGGGGGGGGTCCCTCAGGACGGGGGGCTCTGATCCAGATCACGTCCGTGTTGAAACTTGTTAACATCCCTCTCTCTCTCTCTCACACACACACACACACACACACACACACACACTCACACTCACTTACCAGTGAAAGCAGGAGTGAAGGGCACCGGCGAGAAGGCACTGTGAGGTCTGGATACCTGCAGCCTGGTGGACACAGGATCATCATCTTCATCATCATCATCATCATCATCATCATCATTACTCCACCATGCATCTACAACAACTCAACTAATGGTAACTAATTAAACAATAAACTAATAGTACTAACTAATAGTTTCAGTCGCTGAGTTTGTTTTAGTGATCAATTAAACTGAACTGATCATGTCAATAACTGCTGTTCCTGAAGCTGGTCTCAGGTCAGTCTGTAACACTGTAACTGTTGTGAAGCTTCAGCAGTGTTGTCATGGTGACGGGCATAATTGTTCAGGAAACTCTCAACTAAACTATTAATCAATCATCATTAATTCAGAAAATAATCAATAAATCTCTGTTGGAAGAGCCTGAGAAAGACCTCAACACTCAATCAATAATCTGATGAATGAGTTGTTGATGTTACAAGTTTCAACACGGACGTGAATCTGGATCAGAGCCCCCCGTCCTGAGGTGGACCCCCCCCCCCCCCCACCCCCCCCCCCGCCCCCCCCCCCCCCTCCCCCCAAAGCCTTTTCTGTCTCCTCACACCGTCTTTTGGTTCCCTTGTCTCTCTCCTTGTCCCCCTCTCTCTCTCTTTTTGCTCTGTATTTCTTTATGTACCTCCTGTCTGCCTCACCACTCCATCTCTCTCTCTCTCTCTCTCTCTCTCTCTTTCTCTCTTTTTGAGTGACATATTGGTGTGAAGAGATGTTCCCAGCTAGCTATGCAGTCAAGCCTGACAATGTGACTGTCCTCTACTGAGAGAAAGAGAGACGAGGAAAAAGAGATGGGAAGAAAAAGTGAAAGGAGAAGGAAGCAAGCAGAAGGAAAAAGAGAACGCACATCCAAATGGAAAGATATATATAAAGACAAACAGAAGGAAGAGATAGACAGAGATCACCACCGAAGCTTTGCTCACTATCATTGCAGTGGTTACGGTCAATAAACAAGCTCTTTCTTTTACCTTCCTGCTTTTACTTGCCATGCTTTCCACCTCAGGAACGGGGGGCTCTGATCCGATTCACGTCCGTGTGAAACTTGTAACATCAACACTCATTCATCAATTATTGCATTGAGTGTGAGGTCTTTTCTCAGGCTCTTCCAAAGAGATTAATTGATATTTTCTGAATAATATGATGATTAATAGTTAAGTTGAGAGGTTTCCTGAACAATTATGCCCGTCCACCATGCAACACTTGCTGAAGTGCAAACAGTTACAGTGTTACAGACTGACCTGAGACCAGCTTCAGAAACAGCAGTTATTGACATGATCAGTTCAGTTTAATTGATCACTTAAAACGAAACTCAGCGACTGAAAACTTTTAATTAGTTTATTGTTTAATAACGTTACCATTAGTTGAGTTGTTGTAGATGCATGGTGGAGTAATGATGCTCTCGATGATTGATGATGATGATGAAGATATGATCCTGTGTCCACCAGGCTGCAGGTGGTCCAGACCTCACAGTGCTTCTCGCCGGTGCCTCTCACTTCTGCTTTCACTGGTTAAGTTGAGTTTGAGTGTGTGTGTGTGTGTGTGTGTTGTGTGTGTGAGAGAAGAGAGAAGAGAGAGAATGAGAGAGAGAGAGAGAGAGAGAGAGAGAGAGAAGGAGAGAGAGAAGAGAGAGAGAGAGAGAGAGAGAGAGAGAGAGAGAGAGAGAGAGAGAGAGAGAGAGAGAGCATAAGCGAGCAAGCGCAGGTACAGTACATGGTGGATAAACCACTCAGGTGATCTCTGCAGGTGTGATATTGGGTTAGGGTTTCGTAAGACCTGCTGATCCAGCGTCTCCTTCCTCCTGATGAGATGGTGATTGGTGTTGATGAAGTGATGAAGATGAAGGTGTGATTGATGAAGATGATGAGATGAAAGGTGTGATGATGAAGATGGTGAACATGATGATTGATGAAGAGATGATGAAAAGATGGTGAAGATGATGATGATGATGATGATGATGAAGATGTGGGGAACAGTCAGACATGTAGAGGAGATGTACAGACCTGTAGAAACCTGGTTACTGGTTCTGATCATGTGAAAGACCAGGTTCCTCTGGATCCATGTAATGGTCTTTATTCAGAACGCTCCTCCTTGCGGACAGGGGACCAGGATCCAGTCCTGCTGGACCAGGGACCAGGATCCAGTCTGGTGCTGGACTCAGCTGCTTGTTTCCTCTCAGCAGCGGAGGAAAGTGTAGAAACGATTCAAGAGCAAATTGTTTTCAGCAGAACTTCTTCTTCTTCTTCTTCTTCTTCTTCTTTCTTTTTCTCTTTCTTCTTCTTCTTCTTCTTCTTCTTTCTGGTTCTGGTTTCTTTCTTCTTCTTCCTGTTGAACTGAAACAGTAACATTAACATTTTCACTTCTCTACACTAACATCTCTCTTCTTCCTCTGTGTGTGTGTGTGTGTGTGTGTGTGTGTGTGTGTGTGTGTGTGTGTGTGTCCAGGTGAGACAGTTCTCTGGTTGAGTGGATATTTTCTCGGGAGAGGGGAGGGAACTCTTCTTCATCCCCGACTCCTCCTCCCCGCCAGACGGAGCCTCAGTCTGCTCGTACTATTACTTTTCTTCTTCTTCTTCTTTTTTCTTCTTTGTGTTTCTGGCTTGTTTCCGATCCTTCTTTCCTGTCAGCTTGACGCTCAGTCAGGTGACTGGGAAGACATGAGTGTTGTTGTGTCTCTCTTGGTCTCCAGATGATTTCGGCGGCCCTCCCCAGCAGACAGGGGCCCTTTTACAAACGCCAGTGTGGGGGCATCGATGCAATCTTGCCCCGACCGCTGGCCCTGCCCCCCTCCCATCAGCACCATCCAACACAGTCCTGAGCCTCAACGGTGACACACACACACACACACACACACACAACACACACACCACACACAACACACACACAGTCTCTGTGTAAACACTGTTTGTCTCAGTGTGTTTAATGACGTGATGTGTGTTGGTGTGAGTCATGTGACTCGGCCTCTGTTATCAGGACTCAGGAAGTCACTGCAGTCTTCAGTCAGGTCCAGATGTTGACAGATGTTTCCTGTGTGTCCATAGGACACCTTCCTGCGAGTCTACGAGGGCCGGTCCCTCTGCGCCCCGACGGTCAGCACCCCCCGCCCCGTCGCCCCCGCTTGCCCCCTCAGCCGCCCGACGCCAGCAGCTCGCCAACCAGCCTCAGAGACTAGAAGGTGGGGCCTCGTCATCTTTATCCGCGTGTCATACAAACGTGAAGGGCTTATTTTTAAAATCAACTTTTACTGAAGTTTTTTACCAGTGACTTTCATTCAAGCTTTAAATACATTCAACAGAAAAATGAAACAGTAAGTAAAAAAATGAGATGAATAATTAAAATAATAAAAAAATGTATAATATCTAATAATATAAATTTAGATATTATACATTTTTTTATTATTTTAATTATTCAATTCATTTTTTACTTATCTGTTTCATTTTTCTGTTGAATTGTATTTAAAGCTGAAGAAAGTCACTGGTAAAAAAAAACCTTCAGTAAAAAGTTGATTAAAATTAAGCCCCCCTTCACGTTTGTATGAACCGCCGGATAAAGATGACAGGGCCCCACTTACTCCAGTTCTCTGAGGCTGGTGGCGAAGCTGCTGGCGTCGGCGGCTGGGGCACGGGGGCGAGCCGGGGCGGGGTGCTGACCGTCGGGCGCAGAGGGGACGGCCTCGGTAGACCTCGCAGGAAGGTTGTCTTATTGGACACCAAGACAAACATCTGTCAACATCTGGACCTGGACTGAGAGATGCAGTGACTTCCTGAGTTCCTGATCCAGGCCGAGTCCACATGACTCACCACCAACACATCACGTCATTACACACTGGAACAAACAGTGTTCACAGAGACTGTGCTGTGTGTGTTGTGTGTGTGTGTGTGTGTTGTGTGTGTGTGTGTGTGTGTCACCGTGTGGAGGCTCAGGTGTGTTGGATGGTGTGAGGGAGGGGGGCAGGAGCCAGCGGTCGGGGGGGCAGAGATTGCATCGATGCCCCCACACTAGCGTTCTGTAAAGGGCCCCTGCTGGCTGGGGAGGGCCGCCGAATCATTGGAGGACCAACGAGAGACACAACAACACTTCAGGTCTCACAGTCACCTGACCTGAGCGTCAAGCTGACAGGATAAGAAGGACCGGAAACAAGCCCAGAACACAAAAAGAAGAAAAAAGGAAGAAGAAGAAGAAACAAGTAACAGTACCGAGCAGACTGTAGGCTCCGTCTGGGGGGGGAGGAGGAGTCGGGGGAATGAAGAGAGTTCCCCCCTCTCAGAGAAATATCCACATCAACCAGAGACACTTGTCTCACCTGGGACACACCACACACAACACACCACAAACACACACACACACACACACACACACACACAGAGGAAGAAGAGAGATAGTTAGTGTAGAAAGAAGTGAAAATGTTAAATGTTACTGTTCAGTCAACAGGAAGTAAGGAAAGGAAAGGACACCAGAACCAGAAGAAAGAAGAAGAAGAAGAAGGAAAAGAGAGAAGAAGAAAGATGAAAGAAGAAGAAGAAGAGAAGTCTCTCGAACGAACAATGCTCTGAATCGTTTTCTACACTTATCTAACGTGTAGACCGAGGAGAACAAAGGCCAGTGTGAGTCAAGCTGGACCTGGACTGAGTCCGCGCTGTAGCGAGCTGGACCTTGGTCCCTTGGTCCAGCAGGAAGGAAGCCGTTTTGAATAAGACACATGTTAAGCATGGATTCCAGAGGAACTGGTTTATCACATGATCAGCAACCAGAAACACAGGTTTCTACGAAGGTCTCCGTACAAATCTTACCTATACTAGCTCATTCTGTCCTCTACATCTTCCATCATATCATTCATCAATGCATCTTCACTCTTCACATCTTCATCATCTTCTTCATCTCTCATTCAATTTCCCACTTCATCTTCATCATCTTTCATACACCTTCATTCATTCTCATCAAACCATCACCAATCTTCATCAGGAGGAAGGAGACCTGGATCAGGGTGTTTTCCAGGTCTTCAAGAACACTAACCCAATATAACTGCAGAGATCAACCTGAGTGGTTATCCTCACCTACTGACCTCGCTGCTGTCCGCTCTTTCTTCGCTCTCTCTCTCTCTCTCTCTCTCTCTCTCTCTCTCTCTCTCTCTCTCTTCGGTCTTCTCTCTCTCCCTCTCTCTCTCTTCTTCTCTCTCTTCTACACCACAACACACACACACACAAGCTCATCACTCAGTGAAAGCAGGAGTGAAGGGCACCGCGAAGGAAGGCACTGGTGGGTCTGGACCCTTGCAGCCTGGTGGACACAGGATCTCATATCTTCACATATCTAATCATCATCTATCATTACTCCACCTGCAATACAAACAATCACTAAGTGGTAACTTTTAAACAATAAACTTTAACTTAGTTTCAGTCGGCTGAGTTTGTTTAGTGATCAATTAACTGACTGATTCATGTCAATAACTGCTGTTCCATGAAGCTGGTCTCAGGTCAGTCTGTAACACTGTAACTGTTGTGAAGCTTTCAGCAGTGTGTCATGGTGCGAGGCATATATTGTTCCAGAAACTCTCAACTAATATTAATCAATCTCATTAATTCAGGAAAATATATCAATATCTCTTTGGAAGAGCCTGAGAGAAGACCTCAACACTCAATCATATCTGAGATGAGTTGTTGATGTTACAAGTTTCAACACGGACGTGGAATCTGGATCCAGTAGCCCAGTCCTTGAGGTGGACCCCCCCCCCCCCCCGTCCTCTTACCTGCTGCTGTTCTGCTCCGTGGCTGCAGGTGGGACCCCACGCGTCCAGCGAGACTCCTCCCGGACGAGGTGGACAGGCAGACGGCCTCTTGTCCATGCAGTCCCCCGACCCCCACTTGGAGCTCTGGTTCTGAACAGCTTGCGAGACCGGACCTTCTGTGACCCCTTTCCTTGACTTTCCCCCGCGGCGTTATCTCTCTCCCTCCTGCTGTGCTAATCCTCTCCTCCGCCCTCCCCCTCAGTGAACTTAGGGGGGCAGACCGCCCCGCTTCCCCCGAAGGCCCACGAGTTTGGGGTGGTGCGCGCCTCTAGGGCTGGTGAGCTGGGACTTGTGGTTGGTGCTGCGGCGGTGCTCGGGCTCGGGTGAGGGGGTCCAGGGTTGAGACTTAGTGGTTGCAAGTTACGACTCATTACGAGTGCTGCAAAGTGATCGTGTCGCAAGAGTCGCTGTGGTGTGAGAGCCGCTACCAGGGCAGGAATTACATATAGCGATATCAGGGTAACAGGATACACTCAGAGGATATTCGCTCTCATTGTCTTCTGGGGTGCTGGTCTGAATTCCTCGCTCGAGTGTCTGGGCAGGAAGGAGTACCATCTGACACATTGGATCACCACCCAGTGGTTAGGGACACTTGCAAGCACCCAGGACAGCCAACGAGGACCGGCCAGCTTTGGTCCCGTGCAGACCCCGCCTCCTCCGCCAGTCTGTGGACCCTGCCTCATCAGACCGCTCAGAGTCCCGCTGGAGAACAACCTTGCCTAGCTCCCCCAGAGTTCCCCCCACTGCCAAACACCCCCCATCTCTTCTCCCTCCAGCTGGCCCCCCATGTTCCCTCCATCCCTTCCGCTCCCTCAAGTTGATGACTTTCAACTAGCTATTTGAGCCCAACCCTTCGCATCTGCAACGCTTCTCAGGAACCGCCAGACTTTCGTATAAGACTCGCACGGCAGCGAGAGGGAAGCGGTCAGCTGAGATTCTCACTCGGGTCCTCGCGCAGGACCATAGAATATGCCCCCGAGCCGCCCCTCTCGACCCCTGATGCGCCAACGGCCATTCCCAGGACGCCCCCCCTCGTTCGATGCAGCCGTCCGACCACTCCTCGCTGACCTCTCGTGGCCCAAGGGCGCTGACTCTTGCTAGCCCAATATTCTCTCATCACATATATAGTACGCCCAGCATGTCTACTCCACCACCCTTCCCTCCCCCATCACCACCAAGCTGACCCTTGCGCTCCGGGCCAGGAGCCAAGACCTCGAGTCTCTCCCCAGTGTCGCACTGACCAGTTCTTCCTTGGGCTCTCAGCTCCAGGCACGACCAGCAGGGCCTATTGGTCCACGCAGACCGGTGGTGAGACGCCACACTCTTAAGCTAAGATCTTCGTGATCTGTCAGAGTCTGCATAGTGTTTATAGTCTTCAGTGAGGTACACGTTATGTGAGTGGCAACATAGAGCTGTATCTGACCGGACTCTCAGTGAGAAGACTCAGTGACGCGCGACA